AGTATATATATANAATATATATTTATATATNTATATATATATATATACATATATATATATATATACGTATATACATAAATAAATACAATTATTTTAGTTCGTTAGAGCATTGATTGGCCACGTCACACAGTTTGATGCCTACCGGATACATTTGATCAAATCTGATGCCTTAACAAATCGGATGCTTTGTCAACTAGTCATGCACAATTGACATGTACTCAACTACTACTGTCCCGATTTCAGTTGCTGTATCTCATCCCAAGCGTCTCACTTCTATCCATCAGAGGACTTCAGCGAAGCCGACAGTATGGTAGACAACGGCTCAGTGGTCATGCGTACAGTCAATACGAACCCCACCACACGCCACAATCCCAACGCTAGGGCCAAACCCGAGATGGACTTCAAGAACCATCAGTTCCAGGGCATGTTCGACTCGCGTGGTCTGCAGATCGAGGAGATGTTCAAGCGTCCGCCCCCGGTATGTATGACTGTGACTCTTTGTACCTATGTATTATTTATAGATAAATTTATATATATACAAACACACATACACTCTCTCTCTCCAAACACACACACTCTCTCTCTCCAAACACACACACACACGCATGCACACGCATAGACACACACACGTACTCTCATGCACACACACATACACACTCACTCACTCTCACTCACTCACTCACTCACTCACTCACTCACTCATATATATATATAATATAATATAATATAATATAATATAATATAATATATATTGAATGCTCAAACATATTTATTCGTACGCACACATCCATATATATGTTGAATGTGTGAGGGTGTAGGGGGGTATGACTGAAGTAGGACGTGTCGTTGCGCAGCACAGGTTGTACGATTATGTTAGCGCTTAAAATTGCGAGGATCTTTCAGATGCTAGCCATATGAGGTCTGTTCACTTCCGAGTAGGTGTATGTACAGGTCCTTTTAAGTGTTTCAAGAACCCAATTCTGCTTAGTAGAGAATATACACATGACTGTCCTCTGGCTCGGTGTGAAACGCTTCATCCGCACTGTTTATTGGTCTCAGCAGTGGAGCTGTTCCGCCTGATCTTCAGCTGTGACTTTAAGTGCCCCTCTCGTTCCCATCCGCCACTCTCACCAACTGCCTCGCATTCCATACGCACATACCTTTCACTGTATACAGGCGTCTAGCAACGAGGCGCCACCCGCGACCAACGAGGCGTATGCTTCAGGTGTGCATAATTGTACCTCACAGGGATATTCACCATCGCACACAATGCGAATTAACCATGCGCCATCCGGGCACGAAGCACACAGCGATGCAACGGGTATCAACACACGTGGCTCAAAGAAAAAGGAAGAGGCCCGGCCGCTGGGGCTGGAGGGCATGTTCAGTCAGCCGACGCGGGTGAGTAAATGCACACATACACACTCACACAGAAACACACTCACTCACTCACAGATAAACACGCACACTCACACAAATACACACAAATACACACACACACACACACACACACACACACACACACGCATATATAC